AGAGACTTAAGCGGTCTCCATGCCAAACGTGGAGCCCCATGTAGGGCTTGATCCCACAACCCCAAGTTCATGACCTGACCTGAAACCAAGAGCTGGATGCTCAACTAGCTGAGCTACCCAGGTGCCCTACGTTAAAACATTCTTTAAAACTCACTTTAATGTCCTTAGAGTCATTCATCATTTATAAAATTGTAAATTGCTGGCATTGCTTCATTAGTTTTATCTGAGTCTTAAATGATTCTTGCTGCACTGGTGATTATAGCAACCGAGAGAGAAGGGAGGGAGAGGATGAGTAATTCGAATGGGGGCGGAGTATGTTTACTCCTTAAATTGTGAAAAGCAACGTATGTGCAAAGGATGAACTCCATGACCAGTTTCACTAAAGTCCCTCAAGGTCGCAAATACATATTTAATATATACATACATTTTAAATGGCTGATTACGGTAAAGTTGCACACATGTATCTGAAGCAGCCACTAGAATATTACAAACTACATGTCTCATGTCACGGAAAGGCATTTTACAATGTATTGAGTGAGTAGGGAAAAACAATAATTTAACAATAGGCATAATATCATCTTCTTAAAACATTTATATATGTACACAGGGATAAAATACAGAAGGATATGCTCTGAAGTTATCAGAGTTGTGGTATCCCAAATGATTTTTTAAAAAAATTTTTTACTATTGTAACATTTTCTGGGTCTTTTCCTACAAGGAAGTATTAAATGGGGTATGTATTTTAAATGAAAAGGGAACACCTTTTAAAGGCAAGACAGCAGGTGCATTTTTGTGACATTTCCACTGGTACTGCATTTCCAGAATAGAGCAGAGTTCATGGCATTTTGTTCCTTCACTGTGTGTGGGGAACAATATAGAAATAGCATTTAGGCAGGTGAACATTGGATAAACAGTAGTTGGATAGTAATTGCAAGACTGGAGCCTCCATCAAAAACTGAAAAGTGATGGGCTGTTTTTGTTTTTTTAACTTTTTAATTTTTATTTTTTATTAACATATATTATTTGTTTCAGGGTACAGGTCTGTGATTCATCAGTCTTACACAATTCACAGCACTCACCATAGCACAGTGTCCATCACCCAGCCACCCCATCTCTCCCACCCCCTCCCCTCTGGCAACCCTCAGTTTGTTTGCTGAGATTAGAGTCTCTCATGGTTTGTGATGTTTTGATAAATACAAAAATGTTAACCAGAGACAGGAATGTCCTTTCCTGACCAGGAGGTGCCGGGCATATGACCAAAGGGAGGAGACAGAAGGAGAGAGGGAGGGGAGAGTCATCTTTTTTTTTTTTTTTTTTTTTTGGAAAGAGAGATCACAAGTAGGCAGAGAGGCAGGCAGAGAGAGAGAGGGAAGCAGACTCCCCGTTCAGCAGAGAGCCCGATGTGGGGCTCGACCCCAGGACCCCGAGATCATGACCTGAGCTGAAGGCAGAGGCTTAACCCACTGAGCCACCCAGGCGCCCCAGGGGAGAGTCATCTTGAGTGGGGAGGGAACTTGCTGGCACAGATAAGGAGATTTGATCTGCTCCCTCGTCTGCAAGAGCTGCTCTGACACCTGAGACAGAAGGTGACATTGAGATTTCACAAGGGTTGAACAGGTGTGCAAAAACTAGCAAACGTGTTCTTATCCAGGGGTTACCCACCTTTTTGGCCCTTTACCTTTTTCTGAAAATCAGCTGGAAAAAAAATTGGAGGAAATTGGAGGGGAAGACGAACCAGGAGAGACTGTGGACTCTGAGAAACAAACTGAGGGTTTTGGAGGGGAGCGGGGTGGGGCGGTAGGTGAGCCTGGTGGTGGGTATTAAGGAGGGCACGTATTGCATGGAGCACTGGGTGTGTGAATAAACAATGAATCTTGGAATGCTGAAAAAAAAATAAAATTTTAAAGAATATTTTAAAAACTGGGAAAAAATTTATTTTTTTTGAAAAAAGGAAAGGTTTTCTAACTAGATAATCAGAGGGGATTTTATTTTTAAGATGTAATATGTTTGGAATCACATGAAAAACGGTTATTTGTCTCCCCAGTTTCTGGCCACTTTGAGAGCATCTGGGATAACTTCTGTGGGGTTTTTGTTCCCCCGCCCTTTCTCTTTAATGCTCCTGTGATTCCAGTAAAACTGAGCTGTCTCAGGTTACCCATGATTTTCTGGTAACCGAGGCTACTGAGTTTTACTCCTGTTTCCTCTGCTCATGTCCCATACCTCCTCTCATGGTTAAAATTTTCTCTATCACCTATTTTTGATGGTTTGCTGGTTCTGCTGCTCTTTTATTTTGCTACTCCCCCAGTTCATCCTGCATGGTTCATTTTCCCAATTACAACTCTCAGTGCCTGGGCATAAAGTCCAAACACTTTGGCCCTCTTATTCTTCATCCCACACCTTTCTTGACTTGCCTCCCACTGCTGCCCCCTCCCCAGCGTGCTGCTCTTCTGTGGTTGCTCAGTTCACTTTCCCCAAACAAGCATTTGCAGTCCCCAAGGTTCCATTCATTGATCCTGCCAGCAGTTGAAGGCCTGCCATTAGCGAAGCATGAAGCTGAGGCCTGGGAGGACTAGACATCCACAGCATGTGAAGGTCATACCGCATGGGGGGACGTCACAGACCGCAAGTTCAAAACTCCTCTCACTGCTGCTTTCTAGTTAGGTGACCTTATGCAAATTACTTAATCTCTTGGTTCCTCAATTTTCTAATGTGTAATTGGACATTTCACCTTTTAGTGAGGTGAGTTATTACAATAATTAAATGTTATACAGTACCTAGCAGATTACCAGGCAAAATAGTAAGTACTCAAAAATTGGTAGTTCCCTTCCTAACCCTTCCTCAATTTTCCAAAGAACTTAAAATTTTCAAGCAGATATGGTGTTATAAGTGACCTGAGTAGTATAAGCAAAAACACAGGGAGTTCAGAGAAAACAGAGCACAGAAAACACTATTGGGCTTATCTTTTTTTTTTTTTTTAATACTTCATTTATTTGATAGAGACATGGCAAGAGAATACAAGCAGGGGGAGTGGGAGAGGGAGAAGCAGGCTTCCCACTGAACACAGAGCCTGATGTAGGGCTTGATCCCAGGACCCTGGAATCATGACCTGAGCCAAAGGCAGACACTTAACCACTGCCCAGGCGCCCCTATTTGGCTTATTTTAAAAGAATATCGAGAGAAGACTAGCTAAGACTTTCCTGCGAGAGTGAATAATATAACTAAATGTACAAACATGGGAAAAGACCAAGAAAGGAAAGCCCCCACCTCCTTTGGGTCTTTACTCAAAGTCCCCAACTTGATGGAGCCTTCCTTGCCACCCCACATAACACTGCATCCCAGGCCAGTCCCCCCCTTCCCTAGATCCCTGCTCTGATGTGCTTTCTCATTTCACCCACTGCCATCCATGTCTTCTATTTATTTAGTCTGTGGTCTGTGTCTTCAGAAGAATGTAAACTCCACGAGGGCAGGCGTGTGGGGGCTGTATGTGTATAGTTCTTCACTGCTGCATTCCCCTTACCTAGTGAATGGACACCAGTGAGTATGTTCAGCTCTCTGGCTCAGGGTTATAGGACATGAAAGTTCTGGCTGATAGAGCTACAAAATCTGGCTGGAAATCACGAAAGTCACTAAATAGGTTTTAGGTTTTTAAATTAATTGAGTTGAAACTCCTTATCTTAGTTTTTGTTTTTCGTTTTTGTTTTTTTTTTTTTAAACGGGAAAGGTGTGCTATAGTAAAAAATGACATAGGTTGAAGATTGACAAAGAGAGGAAGACAAGATAAGAATCTATTGTGGAGTCTAGGAACTAACTGAAGAAAGCCTATACTAAGCGGTACTTAGAGAAATAAATAGGAAGGGACAGTAGACATTCCAGCAGAGTTATCTAAACCTGACTGTTAAAACATTAATAAGAGAAATGGAGTCATGGAAAGGAACACTAGGCAGCCATCCAAGAAATTGAGGAAATGCGCATATTCTGAATGTATTTATAAGCAACAATAACTAATTGCAAAGAGTCCATATAGTGTGATTCTGTTTGTAGAGCTATGTACATAAGTATATGTTAATACATTAAATTTATCTGACAAATAGACATCAGACTATTAACATGTGCAGAATGGCATTAAGGAAGATAACCCACTGGTCTGTAGTATTATGTCACACAATTCTGTGCTGTTTGGTTGCTTTTCTATAAGCACGTATTATTTTATATTAAAGTGTCTTAAAATAATGTAACTCACTTTAAATATATCTCATAAAAGAAATGTCAAGAGTATACTTCTAATCATTACAATTATTTTAAATCTATCACTTAAATCTGTAACAAAACACATGAGCATTAAAGCATAAGTACAGTTTGCATTTTGACTAAAAACCTGATAAAGTCACCCTTAATTCAAAAACAATAATGAAGCGAATGAATTTGGAAAGCATAATCCAAAATCAGAGACCTTCTAACTCATGAGTGAAGCCACTATTTTGTTGTAATTTATCACAGAGTCAGAAAGCATCTCCTAATTAATGAGTAATGAAGACATTAATAATCCACAGAGTGTAATCTCCCGGGAAAGGGTTAAAGTTTAAAATCATGATGCTTTGCGCGCGCGCGCACGCACACACACACACACACACACACACACACACAGACACATGCACACATTTATTTCATAGTTTATAAGCCATTTAAAATATGGTTGTGAGGACCAAAGTGATAAAAATTAAACTAATAGGAAATCTGGCATTAAAAGCATATGGCTTTCAAGAAAGCTTTTTACAGTAGATCTTTGCTCTAAGTGGTTTTCCAGAAAAACAGTTCAAGGAAAAACGGTCTAAACCATTCCCTAATTGAACATAAGACTTTGTATGTTATTATTTAAAAATGAACAGTTTTGCTTTTTGAAGCAGTTATAGGTGCTTACTCAAATCTTAAATTTATCATTATTTCTCATTGTCTTAGGTGCCAGTTCAACAGATTCTGAGAGTGAAAATTTAGCTTTCAAATCAGACCCTGGAATCATGCCGCAGTAAGTTCCTACAATCCCATCAGTTCTCTGCACAACAAAGAATGTGGACAGAATCATTGGGGGGAGAAGCAGAGTGCCTTGTGCTGTGAAGGAAGAGGTCAGCTGATGTCAGCCAAAGATCAAACATTTGAATGTGGAACACAATTTTTAACTTAGGAATTTAGATTTTGAAGTCTGCATTTCATCATCGAGATTCCAAAGTCAAACCATAGACAATCTTAAGTTTCAAGGACAACTAACTGGTTATAAATATATGAGAACAACATCAGCATCGAGAGGAAGCTAGTTAAATCATAACCAAAATTTGAATGAGGACCAGTCTAATTATACCAATTGCAAAGTGTGTAATTAGCCCAGAAATACTTGGATAAAGACTATTGCTAGTTAGATCTTACCAGGAAAATTGTAAAATTTAGTTCTTCTTACAAAGACAAATGGATTATTTTCCAAAATAATTATTATGTAAATTGATGGTAATAATTAATTGTTTGCAAAAATAAAATCAAACCTACTGGGATTTTTGTAAAAAAACTCCATGAGTATTGAGACTGTGCTAATAAATTCCTTTGATCTGTTAGCAGATATGTAACAATTTTATCTACTCAGTATCAAATAATCCCTGAGTATTAATGCTAAAGGAACCTTATGAGATGATATGCTCTGGCACTCCTGATTTCAGATAAGGATCTCAAGTTTCAAGAAGCTACTCGACTCGCTTGAGATTGCACAGCCAGCCTCTTAGCAAAATGGGGCCTAGAAACCAACTCTTCTTAACCTTCCTCTACACCTCACTAACTTTTATGCAGTAAGAAAAGACTAAAAGGCCAAGACATTCTCAACAAAATTGGAAACCAGAACAAAGAACACCTGCTAGACTTAAAAGAGACCATTAAAACTTTGAATTAAATATGGAACCCTAACCCTAAAGATTTCAAGTGTCTGCTTATTGCTAAAGATTGGACCTTCTCCAGAGACTTGATTTTCAAGTTCAATACTTTAGGTTCTCTGATACTAGCTGAGCTATATATAGTTATTTTTCTTTTCCCTGTGTGTTTATTTTGCTATCTATAAGGTCTAGTCTATGCATATGTTGACCACAGCTATTCTAACTGTAGGTTATGGCTTCCCATTTCTGAAGCACTTACAGCAGAAGTGGATTGAACGCACGAAAAGAAACAGCTCTTGTGGGGAAATCTTTCAAAGAGTAATTCCTGCTTTAAAAACAAATTGATGGAACACACTTGTCTCCTTATTTTCTAGAGCTCAAAAGAAAACAACTTCTGTCTCCTTGACAATAGGATCATCCTCTCCAAAGACAGGAGTGACCACAGCTGTGATTCAACCATTGTCTGTCCCCGTTCAACAGGTAAGTGCACCTTGGACCAGAGACCACAGTGAGTCAAACTCATTGGCAAACTTCTTGGTTTAAAGATTACGGCTTTGATTCCAACTCGGTATACTCCCTGCAGTATTTTTTAAGTGGATTTTTTAAGTGGAAACACAACAGAGAGGAAAAAAAATGGTAGGTAAAGCTGTCCCTTTCGAGCCACTAAAAACATCTTTAATCAAAAACATATCACCGATTAGTAAGTGCTTGCATTTCCATTAGGAATGTCCCTAACAGCTCATAACCTGAGAAAATGGTATCTCTTTTAGCTATGACTATTTGATTTTTCTTCCACCTCTAAATCCTCTTCTGTTTCACCACATTTATTAGCTTATTTAAAACAAATTAGAAGCAAGAAAAGCCCACATACCAACAAAAGTTTTTCCAAGAGATAAACAATTAAAAAAATACAAATTCCTTGACTTAACCAAGCATTTTTTTCCTGCTTTTTTTTTCCATTATGAGACTACCATATCCAAGAAAGAACAGCAATACAAACTACTGGAAAGTAATAGTTTACTTTGCAAACACTACAGGAAATGTTTTTAAAAACAGTAAAAAAAAAAATTAGAACGGAAATGTTTTAATCAGATGTATGTTACTTTGCCTTTGTGCTGTGATGCATACGTTTAACTAGGACACTCACAAAAGGCTTCTCTACTCCTGCCCTTGAAATGTAAACGAATTCCTAACTGGTAAATTTGTTGTGTGACCATCACCAGCCCTCCATCTACTGAGCACCCAGGTGTTTTAGTATTTGTAGTATGTGACATATACTCTTGGATATGTGGAATAGGGAAACAGTAAAGATATTTGAGTTTGTAAACTTGAAAAGAACCAACCAGTATAATTCATTCAAAGGTGGCGTAGATGTTTCCTTTAAATCCCTAAACTAGAGTGGTACTTATAAAAATATTTCTGATTAAATCAGTGGATCTTTTTTGTTTAATATTTAAATATTGATGAGTGGTGAGTGTTTATTAGCACCATGTTAGACTTTTCATTGGGGAAAAAAAATACATCACCAGCCTCATTCCCAAACACTTTATAGAACTATGCATGGGAAACATGAAACATGTCATGAATGTAACACTTTATAGAACTATGCATGGGAAACGTGAAACATGTCATGAATGTGGCAGAATATGTTAAAGTATAACACAAAAGCCTAAGAGCAAGAAATATTTAAATACGTAAGCACCATAATAATGTAAATGGTACATTTAATTGGTTTAAATTCTCCAGGGACACTAAATGGAAGGATACACATTCCAGTTGTACAGGTAGGATGAGGGGCTCAGAGAAACTCTGTTGCTTTATTACTGTAAGCAACGTCATGTGAAGTTGAACACTGGGAGCCAGATTGCCTGGGTGCAAATCCCAGCTCTGCCACTTGATGTAACCTCTCTATGCCACGTTTCTTCATCTGTAAAATGAAGATAATACCATGCATCTCCCCGGACTATCCTGAGGATTCAGTGTGTAAGTGAATCTCCATATAACACTTAGAACCGTGTCTGGCACAGACTAAACACTACGTAAGTGTTCCAGTCTTGGACATATAAAGACAACAAAAAGTGAAACCCAGTCCTGAATCACAAACCAGTGAGAAGTCTTACAAGGATAATGAATAACGCCCTTTACTATCCTAACATCTCTGCAACTCTGCCAACCTTCTCGATGATAACTTGTGACATATTTAGACCCATGATATCAGATCACCATCATCTGGGGTTAAGAAGCTAACAATTGTTTACATAGAAGGGCATAAATCCAAAGTGTTGGAAAATAAATGATTGGAGAAAGAGACGTATTTTCCATTCACTACTCTGGAATCTTTATATTTCCCCGGAGATGAGTGCCATACAGTAAGTATTTTAGCATCTTTGTTTTTTGCACATCAAGAAAGAACAATATATTCCTTTTTGTTTCCTGTAATCCCTTATATCAAGAAAGAATGCAGGTTAAACATAAGGTAGATGGTTGATAATTTACCCTGCACTGCCAGTAACTTGTGCTTTTAATTCCATGAATCCAGACTGTATTTAAAAATAAAATATAATGTCTGTGAGAACTTTTGAAAAGATCCCTGTGGAAGTCCCACACACAGAAATCCATTTGGTAAGAGCATTTACACGCTTATGGATCCCCAAGGAACTGAGGAACTTTTACCTTGAATATCCTTTTGAATAGAGAAGAGGAACAGCTGTGAAAGGAGGATGAGGAACAATGTCTGTACTGTACGTGAGCGTAGACCAGCAAAATGACAGATGGCACTATTTGTGTTCCCTCGTTGCATTCAAGTGGAGCGATCCCAATAATGAAAGATTTCTTTAGCCCATCTTTTCAACAATTTATATATTTGGAATTTGATCCCTGTGTCTCTGCATTTTCAGGTCCACAGTCCAACCTCGTATCTCTGCCGACCAGATGGAGCTGCTCCTGCCTACTTTCCTCCTATTTTTACCAAGGTCTGACATCTCACATCTCTTTCTCTCTGTTTGCTTTGGTCCTTAAGGTCCCTTCACATGGGCCTTCATGCAGCAGTCCTTAAAAATTAAAATGAACAGATCCACAGACTCTTATGGTTACCTTTGGGGCTAAATAGGTATTTATGCAACAACTGTTTTGTGAGTATCATCTGGTCAAGGGTCTGAATGGTGTGGGCGTGGTCAGTGACCTGGTAGAGCTTACTATAGAATGGGAAAGCCAAGACAGGTAGAAAAAAATGAGACAAAGAGCTGTGTAGGAAATTGCTTGGGAGAACCAGCACGTTTTAGAGAATAAAAAAAAAAAAAAAAAAAAAAAAAAAAAGACAATATTCAATTTGTTCTCCAAGTTTGTGTTTTGCCTTGCCAAAATAAATGACATCCATTTCGATAGTCAACTGCTTAACTCAGAAATGGCTCCATGTGGTGTATCTTTTTTTTTTTTTTTTTTTTTTTGAGAAAATTACAAACCTTGATTGAAATACATCTAAAAAGGCCCAAGTAAGTAAAGAGAGATTCCATGTGTGTGGACTGGAAAATCGTGAAGTCATGAGCCCCAAATTAATCTCTAAATTTAATGGAGATCCAAATGAAATTCTAATTGGTTCCTTGTTTTATTTGTTTAACGTAGAACTTAGCAAATTTGATTCTAAGAAAAAAAAGGTCTAAAAATAGCCAAGGTACTTCTGAAGAGGAAAATTAAATGCTGGTAAGGAAGGCAAGGGATTTGTCATCAGAGATGTTAAGACTTTGTAGAGTAGTTAGGATAGTATCATGCTGAACAAGACCAAACAAATGGGCAGGTGATCAGAATAGAGCCCACAGACACTCCAGTATCTCCAGAAACCTGCAGATTGCTGGGTAAAGAATGAGTTCTTCAGGAGAGGTTTAAAAAAAAAAAAAAAATTAAATTGGACTCCTACTTCACACTTTTTATAAAAATCTAGGCAAAGTAAATGAAAGACAAATGTGAAAAAGCAAATCCATAAAATTTTGCAAGGCAATAGGGAAGAGCATCTTGTTTTTCTTCTTGTAGGGGATGATTTTTTTCCTTCCAAGCCAGACTGGATCCCGCTTTATTAAAGGTCATTTTGTAAGCAGGGTATTTAGTGTAAGACACTGGCAACAAATGATAACATTTGAGAACAACTTTCAAGCACCAAAAAAACCAAACCCCCCAAAAACAATAAAACCTGACAGAATGTGATACCACTGTAGTTGTCCATGAAGTTCTCCTCTAATCTGCTGAGAACAGCAGATGTCCCCACAGTGTGGGTAATTCAGCTGTTGTGTGGTTTTAGAGCTTCTCAAAGACCGCTTCACCAGATCATCACCAGGAAGTCTGTGCTATGTGAAGGTGATTTGGGGGGTACCAATACACCTCTTGATTTAAGCAAATCTAGAGGTCGTGAGATTTTGCTTTCCCTCCCCTCAGGGCTTCCCCACAGTGGCCTGGCAGATGGTGATATTACGGAACTCCTCCTGGGCACTAAGAGAAAGCCTCAAAACTAGACCTAAAACCTCTTTCCTCCATTGCATCCCAGCTCCTGAGGCATTGATATTCAATTAGCGTTATATCCCTTCCCCCAGAAGAAAACCGTGAAACATAGTGTGTGCAAACTCCACAACTTAGTAAAAAGAAAAGTGAAACATAATTCTGTATTTTTATAAAGGTTGATTTAAAAAAAAAAAAATCACAAACTGTAGAGTGACGGGCAGCACAGAGCATACCTCACTGGGCATTTCCAGTGCTTTCTACCTTCTGTGTCTAGACCGTAGATCATCTCTGATCTCCGCAGAATTGCTTCCTTCCTTCCTGGCCTTGGCTTTCCCCTTTGTCCTTGTGGGCATCTTCCCTCCCTGCTTTGCTGGGTCCTTTTGGGCCTGGACTTTGGTTTTGGAAGGGCAGGTTTAGAAGATAAATCTGCTCATCTCCTTTGTAACTCAAAGTAGCCTTCATTTTGTCACCCTTAGCATCTTTTATTTGGTCTTTCTCTCGGGCATGATGGTGACAGTGAATGTCAGTCAGGTGGGCATTGCTGGTCTAATAGGTACCCTCACCTGTTTCCTCATACTACTCTGTAAAGATTTCCCGGTTTCACAGCTGGTCAGAGGCAGAGCCCGTGCCTCTGTCTGTGGGCCACTGGGTTTAGCTGGAGCAGCAGAGCTGGTATGGGACTATGGGACTAGGGGCAGTAGGGACACATGGGAGACGAGAGAGCAACTAGTCTTATATGGCCTTTCTTTCTAAGTAGTTCAGCCCCTTAAAGGAATCACAATATCAGGTGGGCTTGATATATGGATCCTAAAACCCTCAGGGTCCCCCAGTTCTGCCCTGAGTGGATGATGTAGATTGCTAAGCGCAACTTCTGTAGGTTGGCTCTTAGTCTCCTTCAGGGTTCCGCCTTGTGTCCCTGAATATTCTCCTAATGGCTCATTCCACTTAGCTGTGGCTTCTCTCAAGATGAAAAAGTTTGCTCTGGGTGGAGTCCTATTTTAATCCTGTGGAGTTTTGCTTCAGATCCTTGGTATCTACCCATTTTCTCTCTGACTTTCCAGCCTTTGAACAAAACACACAATCCTAAGAATAAATCAAACTTCCTGGCTTGTCTAGGAAGTGTTTAATAATTAATCTACACAACCTGGGCCCTGTGAGTGACACTTTTCCTGCTCTGATCCACTAAATTAGCTCTTCTCTGGACCCAGTCACAAAGTAAAAAAGTCAATTTAGAACCAGAGATTTTCTACATTTAAAAATAAGGAGACAATGTAATCAGAAGTAGTTAATAAATCTTAACCTTTTCACTTAAAAAAAAGGCATTTTGTTAACTATTCAGCTTATTATCAAATGCCTTCTCAGACTTAACATTAGCCTTTCATAGTTCTTCCGCCAACAGTACTGACTGAGAATTTCCTTAGTGTTCTGCCACACTCACTGCAGCTCATTTGCTCTGACATTTGTTTTTTCCCAGCACACGTTTGTTATCCCTTCAGGTAATCTTAAATAATTGAACAAAACCAGTAAAGACCACACACTTCTTAATGTGGATTTGTTTGCTCTTGGTTGACATGTAGGTGAATGACTCTGTCATATCCGAATTACTTTAAGAGTTCTCCATCCACCTAGGTAAGATCTCATACTCTCGAGTCAGAAGTTGAAAAAGTCAAAAAGTTGAAGTCAGCCCCATTGCTAAGTAATCCCGGAGGAGGAAGGTAGGGGAGGATAACTGTGAGGGGACTATTAATCTTTTGATATTTAATAACAAGTATTAAAGCTTTACCTCTTTGCATCTGTGCAGACAAATTAATTTCTAATCTGTTGCCCTGTAAAAATTTACTGGTCTGGACTTGGAATAGGGTCAGGGGCAACAAGGGTAATTGCAAGGGAAGAGGAAATGAAGGTCACGAAGGGAGAAGTACTGTGGGTTTTATTATTTTACTCAGAACTTCGAAATGAGAAAGTCCCCAAGCTTCTTATCTTAATAAACCTGACATAGGAAGCTCATTGGCAGAAGTGGGGGTGAGGGAGTACATGAAAAGGTTGGGGCATGTAAAAACAAATTATGCCTTTTTTCCTCTTCCTGTCTGGTTTTCCCAGGAATCTACGTTCATATGGAATATAATTGTTTTAGGAAGTCTGCATTCCACCAGCTAACTCTTCAGTGTAGAGAAAGGTAACAGGCATTGCCATAAAATTCCATAAATATGAAAGTGTCAGTAAATTTGCAGACAGACCCAAAAGGTCCACAGGCCCAGTGGTAGCCCTTACTGATCTCATTACAGGGAGATTATGGAAAGCTAACAATTGATGGATTTCAAGGTGTCTATTTTTACTTGAGTTAGTGGTAATTATTTTATGATGCAAGTTTTGCTTTTTTTTTTTTTTTTTTTTTTTCCCTCTAAGATTTGCAAGCTTTACTTTCTGTTGTGAAATTGTGTAAGAGTGAACCAAAGTCTAATGGGGAGTGTCTTCCTTGAATTTTTAGGAACTGCAAAACATAGCAGCATCCGAGGGTCAGGTGGTGGTCCTGGAGTGCCGGGTCCGAGGAGCACCCCCTTTGCAGGTCAAGTGGTTCCGACAAGGGAGTGAAATTCAAGACTCTCCAGATTTCAGAATTCTACAGAAAAGTAAGGAGAGGTGCCCATTCTCCCACATCCATCCATTTTCTTCTCTCAAGCTTCAGGAAAACCAAGAAGGACTTAGTCTTTCAAGATGAATTGATTTTTTAAAAAAGACTTTTATTTATTTGCCAGAGAGTGAGAGAGGGAACACAAGCAGAGGGAGTGAGAGAGGGAGAAGCAGGCTTCCCACTGAGCAGGGAGCCTGACGTGGGGCTCGATCCCAGGACCTTGGGATCATAACCTGCCCCAAAGCTAGATGCTTAACGACTGAGTCACCCAGGGGCCTTTAGCAGAAATGATTTTTATTTTCGAAGAGAGGTGAGACTGGGTAATCGGCAGATAAGTGGGGTCCGGCAAATTAAAGCCATGGTGGTCACTTGTTAACCCCTTTGAAAGTTTGATAAGAGCTGTATGTTCCTTCTTCAGGAAGAAATGTTACATACATTTGAACTCAAAGTTGGCCAAATAATCTTAGGAGGTTTACAAGCCTCCTATAAGCCCTTCTATGAATCATGGTTTAAAACACTTTCCAGTGTAAGCTGTAACTGGAATTTGGGTTTCTGTATTTATAGCAATATAAATGGATCTGTTACCACTCTATCTTTTGTATTACGGAGTTCCCTATATCCTGCAGACATGTCCTGGACAAAGTAAGAGAGAAAGATAGGTTTCTTATTAATGGAACCCCATTCTAATACTCCGTTTTGATTTATTTTTTTTTTCTCATGTGGCAAAAAGAACCTAGATCTACAGCTGAACCTGGTAAGATACTCTTTTTTTTCCCCCTTTGGTAGTGTATCTTTTGGGTTTCAATAGTTCTTTGTTTCAATTTTAAAGCCATAAGCAGAACAATGTTCTTGCAGTTCTCTGGAAATACAAAACCCCCTTAAAGACAATATCTTCTTAACATGGGGTCTGTACACTCCATTTTATACCAGCTTCTTTATTAGTAAAACATTAAGTTTCATTCAGACAAGAAGGTCAACCTCAGTGACTTAAGGCTTTTTTAAAATGTAGTCTTTTCTGTTCAGAAAGCAAACCAAGCTCTTGATGAAAAAACATGCTCCTAAAATTCCAGTAGAAAAGAACCATCTGCCACATACTTCTGCTGACCAAAACCTACTAATGTCTCGACCCTCCAGTTTAGAAATGTGTCTTACATGAGAGTGGCCCAAAGATGTAAGCAAGGCTGACCACTGGCGTTTCTCATTTATGTCCCCTGAGCTGCAACCTTGGACTATTCTACAAGCATGAAGAAAGTCGTCTTGCCCTAGGAGCTTTCTTAATGACCAGGTCACTTGGCGTCATCAGAGAGCTATGTTATCTAGGAGCCCCAGGTCTGACTGGTCCCCTGCTCCAGACTTCTTGTATACTTGTGACTCCCCATAAACTACAACAGTGTTTGCAAAAGAAACAAAAATTTTTGTCTGTGCATTTCATAGGACATCCTCCTTGAGACTCACTTCCTTTGCGTTTCTCCCATCAGGAAAATGACCAGTTTCACAGACTTCTTAGCAAAAGATAGAAAAACTGATTTGTGCCTCTGCCTCGGGGTTGAGCAGGCTCTGCCATTACATCCCTTAGGAGCCAAGGTTCTGCTCTGTCCCTTCTTGGGGAACTTAAAGGTTCTCTGTGAGCTACTGCAGGTCTGATGACCATAGTTCGTCCTGAACTTTCATAGCTGAGCATTGGGCCATTAAAAGTAGGGTGTGATCCTTTTAGGATCCTAAGTTTAAAAGATGCTGAGTAGCATCCTCAAAGAACAATGGGGTTTGATCTACTGCCTTCTTGTCATGATTAAAACTAGAACATGTTGTCCCATCTAATGTGTTAGTCACCACATTGAATACTGTAGTCACTTTCCAAAATATGGAAATAGACAATTTCATATTTTGTCTGTGATAGGTCTTCACATAAAATTGTATAATCCTGGTTCCCTGATAACATGGAACTTCAGAAATTTCAGTCTACTGCATGAGCCCACAGGAGGGTAGCAATATAAAAGCACCTGCATATCCTAGCAATATGAAAGTTTCTCCTCCCAGTGTTTGCTGAATTTTCTTATTTTTTTCCTTTCAGTTCGATCTGAAAGCATTTAAGAAAACAGACTCTTCCTTTCCAACTATAATAGTAGAATATGCTGAAAACACATATTTCTTGGTACAGAACTATGTCAACCAAATCTGTCAATATGGGGCAGGGGCGGGGAAATTTGTATACGGGCAGGAGCTATTACAAACAAAACACAGCTAGTTTTCTCTGATCTTTGATGATTACTCTATAATTATATTTACTATAATACTAGAATTTGTTCTTTGTCTTTAATAATGGAGCATCAAAATTCTCTCAGGAAATCTACAATTGGTATGTAGTGTTAAATAAAGTTCTAGATCATATTTCTTAAAAGTTTAAACACATGAATGGCTATTTCAGTGACTGCTTATGTGAACTGTTATGAGTGGGAATTTCAGAACAAGCCGATGTTAAAACATATTTGTATTAAAACAATGTCTTGGCATGCCTGATTATTATTATACTAGATAGGATTATGATTTCTTTTATTAGTAGCCAAATGTTTTCCTTACATTGACCTTGAAGTTGTCTGTTGACATGGTTGGGGGAAAAAACAAGATATATATTGAACTGTGTACTTTCCTTAAGTGACCTGATTGACTATTTTATCCATTAGGCCACTGAACTTATTCAGCCATATAAAACGGATCTGGCTTCCCTGATAGCTTCCCTGATAGTTTTTAGCCACTGTTAAGTGGAAAGGACAAAAACAGACATGACTATAATACATCGGAGGAAAGAGATAAATTTTATAGGACTAGGCCAAGTGAAGTTTTCCAAATGCTAAAACATAAATAGCTTTTGAAATTCAGGAACATATTTAAGCATTTGGATTTCATTACCCTCTCTTCCTACTCTCTTCTAGTCCTCTGACACTTTCACTCTTGTTCTCTCCTCACTGCCTGGTGCTCACTTGGTCGCTCTCTCCCTCCCCACCTCCTCGCTCTCTTAATCTCTCTTTTCATCTCTCCTTTTCCCTCCTTCCTTCTTTTTATCTCTTTACTCTTCTTCCTTTTTTAAAAACGTGTAAGATGTGTTGAAGCTCTAGAAATAAAGTTGAAATTCACTAGTACCTAGCTGTAGCCCCATTAGGGATTAGATATTAAGATAAAGAAGGACCTAGCAGATTCTCTCCTAATGCATTTGAGAAACTGAAACAGGTTTTTCTTGTCACTACTGTGTTGTATCTGTCTAATGTGTTTTACACTCCCTTCTCTGTCTAGACAGAAGTCAGCTTGCATCACAAATCTTTTCAGACTGTTTTGTGAATTAATAGCTAGTCAGCTTACTTAAGACCAACATCCGTTTGTCATATTACCTGCTCTGGCCTCTTTCTTTGACGTTCTGACTTTATACTGATTGAATCCTTCAAAGACTAGTCTGGGGCGGGGGTGGTGCGGAGGCACAGAACAGTCATTTGACAGCTGGTAATACTCAGTCCCTTACTCAGCTGTCTGGAAGCAGCCACAAACTGTATTGAGTTACTTCTATAGCATTGTCTAATGGCATACAAAATTAAAAATACTGTGTCTTGCTGACCGGGAAATTATACATATAAAAATACAGTGCCTTGTACTTTCAGTACGCATCTCTGCTAACCAGTGCCGCCCGTCATCTTAGATCTTAGATCCCCGAGTCAATGTTCTGATTCTTTGATTCAGAACGTGAAGTTAATTATACTTGTTAAACGCAGTAAGGTGCCGAGTTGTAGGAGAGCGATGGTAAGGATGCTTGAGATCCCAATAGACTGTCCGTAGCTCAAAGCGTAATGCAAGTCCAGGTTCAGAGGGTAGGCTAAACAAAAGTGGGTTGTGTGAAGCCTGTGGTTCTCGAACCTGGGGCAGCACACCAAATCGACAGACGTGCTGTCGTGTTTGATGTTTTTGATGTGAACACAGTGATACTCAACATCTGATGGATACAACTACTAACTTGGAACAGTTCAGAGTTTCGACTTCAGAGCACTCTACATTCTTCTCTATTTCATCTTATTTTGAAATTGAGTTTTTGATGTGTATGTGTTGATAAAAATCAAGTGCCATGTGAAAATCAATGTGGAACGTGACATGATGCTGGCTGGGCCCCATCTGATCTCGAGTTCTGCAGTAAGCACAGATGTGTGTGTTCATTAGTTAGTAATTGTGGTTATTTAATTTATTTTATTATTTATATTTATATATATATAAAATATATTATTATTATTTATTATTTAAGAATAAAATAATAACTTTTCTTTAATTTATATTTTTGTTTTGCAAATAGTAACTAACTTGTTAAGATCTAAAAACTTACACATTCTTTCAAAATAACTAAATACATGAAGCTCTTGGGTCTATCTTTTGACTGAGGAGCATCACAAACTATTACTGAGATGCTTAGGGTCCCGCAAACTAAGAAACTTTGGTTTGATCTCTGGGGAGAGAGGGGACGCCTCAAGACCCATTTGAGAGTATACAAAAAAGAAAATTGAGTGACTCTTAGAATTCCAAATTCTCAGTGCTCCTACTCCCAGTCATCTTCTGAACTGACCTTTTGTAGTGCTGGCCTCGGAACATTTCCTCGCCTGCCAGAGCCTGAAGGACTCCTTTCTGGGCAATCTGAACATCCTAGGAGAAAGAAAAATCGATACATGTGATACGAGAGTTTCTTCAATAAAGAGGCCATCCACATTACCATAGCGGGAAGGCCAGAGTTGGCAAGCTCTTCTGTCTTGCTCAGAGCTTCCAGTTAACTCAGAACCATGTCAGACAAAAAGAGAGAAAAGACCTCTGAAGAAACATCTGTCATGGGTGATCCAGAAGAAAAGAAGCAACTCCCTTGAAAAGCAACTTGGATAAAACAGACTTGCAGAGAGAAGAAAATGTAAAAGCAAAACAACACTCCTCACAGATAAGAGAATTAGAACATCCAAGAAGTGAAAATTAAAAAGATTTCAGAAGAGGGGAGGAATATTTGGAAAACAAAAAGTTCTTCGAATGAAAAGTTGGTAGCAGAAATAAAAGCTGAGGAGCTGTCCCACAAAATAGGGCAGAAAGACAAAAAGGAATATAAGAGAACAAAGGTAAAAAAAAAATTAGACTATGCTGGAAAACCTGCTTAAGTAGACTACACATGTATAATTGGGATTCCAGGAGAGAGAACAAAGGAGGGGGAGAGATTATCAATGAAATAATATTTTTAATTCTTCAAACTGAAAGATACCCAGTTTCCAAATTGAAAGGATTCACTGCATACACAGTGGGTGAAAATAAATTCACAGCAGTGTACGTTGTGAAATTCAGAATATGCAGGACAAGGAGATGATTCTGCCAGTGTCCAGAGAGAAAACATCAAGTCACACAAAACCACCAATATCAGAATGACTTAGAACTTCTCAGTAGTCAGGCTAGACACAAAGAGATGGTGAAGCAAAGCCTTCAAAATTCTGAAGTGAAATTACTTAGAATCCTATACCCTGCTGGGCGCCTGGGTGGCTCAGTGGATTAGGCCTCTGCCTTAGGCTCAGGTCGTGATCTCCAGGTCCTGGGATCGAGTCCCGCGTCGGGCTCTCTGCTAGTCAGGGAGCCTGCTTCCTCCTCTCTCTCTCTCTCTCTCTCTCTCTCTGCCTGCCTCTCTGCCTGCTTGTCATCTCTCTCTGTCAAATAAAGAAAATCTTAAAAAAAAAAAAAAATGAGAATCCTATACCCTGC